AGATTATTTCCACAAAACAACACAGAAAATAGTATTCATGGCTGTGAAAAGGAGAGCCACTAAAGTATTACATGATGTCAAATTTCTTTTTAAGAACATCAGTTAAAAATCTAATGTTTACTAGAAATGTTTATAATTTTTCTGCCCTTAAAACTTAGCAATTAGAAATACATGAATTCACAACAAAGATCAAAATAAATGATTCAAAACAAGCTAGGACATTGGCAATTGTGCTTTCTACTGCCTGTCTAAAACTTGGCAAAATCTACCTGGCCTGTCTTGGGAGGAATTTCCAGACATAGTATTCCTGTGGAAAAGATCTTGTTTTACCATGTAACCTCTTTAGGTGCTGCAACATATAAAAAGACAACACATTGGTGATCCACATTTTGTCTCTATAGGTTTCAGAAACAAATTATACAAGGAAGAACACAATACACTCATTTTTATTTAGTACTTCTACTTGTTGTTCAAAAGGGATAGAAGTTGCAAATGCATAGAACTTTCCCTTTCAGAATAGCGAAGCAAGCAGCTTTGAAGGTATATAGAATTGCCTTTTCCATCAACAAGAACTGTTCTTATGATGCTCCTTTGCAAGTGGGTACTGCATCAGAATGACAGTGTATTTATATTTCATTAGACTGCAGCGTCATGCAGATGCCATATTCACTGACAGTTACCGGAAAGTCCGGGGAAAGGTATCAGCACGGAAGTTATTACAGGGCATTGTTGGGAAAAGACTTAGGTAAGTGTAATGAATATACATTATTTACCATAAGTTTGGTAGCAGTTAAATTTCTACTTGACTGTCAAATGCAAGAGACAGGAAGGTAATACTGCTGGTGGTTACAAATTCTTACAGCCGCAACAGACATTATTCTGATCAGACATGGCCCAGAAATATAGCTGAGTTAGCAATAAAAGAAGAGTTATTATAAGATGTGCTGTACATTTCAAGTGACAGTGAACTATTCACTGGGGGAAAACTGAATTTATGAAGTATCTTAACTGGAGCTCTCACCTTACTCTATATTTCCTTGGAAAAATCTGGAGCTGTATCTGATATACACATATAATACAAAAGTATTTGTGAGTCTTGATCTTTCTAACTCAAATAAACATTTATAACTATTTCTAGAAGAGCTCATTTTAGATTTTCCTACTAAGATATTAAGGACTTCTCCAAATATCTCAAGATAGCAAATTGTCCTCAGAAGTGTGGGACTATAACATCAATCTTCCAAGCCAGAAGGAAAATACTTACCAGATTGTGGAATTTGCATTAGAAGAAATTAAAACTCATATTCCTTTGAAGCACTCTGAATTGAACCTACTTTGCAATTCATTTTTTTGTATCTCTAGTCTTCTATGCAAATAGCTCAGGTCAGGAGTCATCAAATAATGTTATTTTAGCTTAAGAAGTCGACTTCAAACATAGCTGTGTTAAAGAATAACTTTTTCAAGGCCAATTTATAAGGCTCATAGTCAAGCAAGAATAGCCCATGTCTATGACCCTTGACCCACACCTCCCTCTATAGTTTGTTTTTCTATGGCAATCATTCTGGCTGTTTTGTAGGGAAGGAAGCCTGGGAGATGAGCAACATGAAATCTTGACTAGGCGCCAGTCTGATAGCATTATGATGGACAGTCGCTACCACCAGCAGATGGTGCTCAGGAATTTCTTGGGAGCAATGTTACAGAATCAAAAGTAAGTAGTTTCATAAATACATGGCAATCAAATTCTGTAACATACATTTTGATTATGCAGCCAGCACTTTAAGGATTTATGTAGCATATATAGTAACAAATGCAACAAATACACATATTCTAATGAGGGAGTTGTAATTTGTATACATTTCTGTTCAGTATGCTTCAGTGCCCATTCAGAAGCTTACTTTATATATTAGCTCTGAGTAAACTTGTAATACATTAGGGTAGTTAGTCAATTCAATTCTGCTTGGGTTAGAACTGCTTTTAAGTAGTTTTTGACATGGAAAAACATTATTTGCATAAATTCTTGGCATCTGTAGTTAATGGGAAACATCTCTATCTAGACAACTTAGTCAGATAGCTTAAGTTCAAAACATCTAGAAGGAGAAACTGACTGTATAGACACTACTGTTCAAGAAAGGGACAAATAAACAGAGCTTTTATTTTGGTCACAGTACGTACTCTGTTGCATAGAGCCTAGTACCTTATCTCAGAAGCAACTGTACTCCACTGAAAGCAGACACAATTTTGTCACTCTAAGATCTCTTCTTTTTCCCCCCCAGGCCTCAAGATACTGATAAGGACAATTTAGAAGATTTTGCCAGTGTTCTGATCAAACTGATGGAACTGTAGACTTCACCCCTTCCCTTTCTCATTTTGGTAAAGAAATCAACAGGACACCCCACTGTTAACTGTTACTACTGAAATCTCACCTCCTTCTATAAACATAGAAGAACAAAACAATGAAAGCAAATGTTTATATATGGAATTGTTTTGTTTAATTTATGGCAGATAAGACTGCTAAATGTGTAGTAGCCTCATTTCAGTTTCAAAAATAAATGGCCACTGTAGCAAAATGCTATATTGAAATTCTTTTATTTTACTGAGACTCCATAATCAACAATGTCATCAAACTGAGATATAGAAAATGTTTGTCATAACTAAAACATGAGGACTCTACTGTGAGTTTAAATTGAGAAGTGATAGTTTGAATGGAAAGCATTTATTGAGTTCTGGCTTCAGCACCATGGACAGCTTTCAATTGCTATGCAGTCTTGACACCGTGTAAAGAATTTATGCAATCTGCAGACAGGTCTTCTGATTCTTCACAGTGTACTTTTAGCTGTTTTTGAACTCATCCAAGCTTTTCTTGCATTTTTACACAAAATATGGGAAAGCCCTTCTATAACTACTTGAGGCATAAGTTTAGTAATGTTTGCTTTAGAGAACCACAATATGATAAAAGAAATTGCAGTTGGCTAGACCTTTTGTCTTATTCTCTTTATTTCATGAAGGAGGCGGTAGAAAAAAGATTTAAAAAATGACAGTTTGGGAGCCCATCTGTTTCTAAAGTTCTTACTGATTGACAAAGTGGTTATATCATAAATCAAAGTACTTACACATTCAAGCAAACACAAAATGTGGGATTCTTTTCTTCTTAAAAAACACTTTTTAATATTACAGGCAATTATTTTCCACACTTCAGTTTCTGGCCTTCAAACTGTTCTTTGGCTCCTTTCCTTTTTTACTTAAGGTTTTTTTCTGTTCTTCTGTTCTTCTGACATTAACGTGTTCTGGAAGGACATAAAGAAATCCCCTCAAAGTTAAAATTTCTGATGTAGAACAATTCTTCACCTATGAAACAACTACTTCTTTTTGGAATGGCAGAGTGAAATTTAATGTCTTGATGCTTTAAATGCCCAATTTAAATGTGGCCCAAGCCTGAAGAATGCAAAGAATACATACTAAACTAGAATTTAATGCAAAATACAGTTATTTATCATGCAATCCTAAAGTTACAAGTCATACTGTATTTAACTGGAGTATTCCTTAACACATGTGCACAATGCTACAACTTAAATTTAATAACAATATTCACCTATTGATCTATCAAGTTTAAATGAGTAGATTAAAAAAGAGACAAACTTACAAATATCTTCCCATTAAGAAATAGAACATTCTTTTTCTAACACTTAAGTGTATAAAAACAACTAGAATCAAAAAGAAAGATGAGGGGATGGTTATGAAAGCAAGATTTAAGCTCTTGAGCTATGACATTCAAGAACTCAATTCCATTATACAAATGATATATAAATAGAACATATTCTATTTCAATTGATATATAAATAGAACATATTTCTTATAATTTCAGTGCAATTTTGCAGATGAAAATGTCTCCAAATAACTACTTATTTTTAATAAAGGGCTACTGGGAGTAACACCATTCTTAGTTATTTTTCTTAGGAATATAGTGGTGGAAGAAGTTTGTGAATACTTTAAGAATTATCCATAATCCCTAGTACTGTAATGTACAATGTGATAAGAACTTCAACTAAGTCCTATTAATAGATAACTGGTTAAAACGAATACCACAAAAGCAGTGTTTCTCTCACCACACTGTTTCTCGCCTAATAGTTTCATGTTTTCTTTGGCAAAGTAGGGGCGTTGCTTTAAAATGTATCCAGTTTTTAGCCATTGCAACCACTTAAGAGGGAGGTTGGAACATTTTTTTTTAAAGCTGATCAGGCTTGAGCAGACAAACTGAGGAGCAAAGATTGGAGAGTGTTTTTATAACACTTGTCTGGGTAAAGTGGGGAACAAAACTCAGTGTTTTGAGATAAGATAAAATCTAGTATTTAGCCATCTTTGGACACTAACATTTTACATCTGGTGACTTCTAGCATGGTATGTGGCAGTACATCCATCATCTTTGAAGTGTCTATAGAAGAGTATATGTTAGTCCAGTTCAGTATTTTGATGCATTATTTTAAATTTCTGATGTTTCAGAATGGATATTTTTTTTCTTCAACAGAAACGAAAGATGATCAATCTACTGGTAGGGCTGATTAAAATAAGTCTAAGTCAAGAAAGTTAAATATCTTTTATGTGGTATATTCATTTTTTGTTGAACCCTAATCCTCAATGAAATCACACACACACACACACACACACACACACACACACCCCTTCAAGTCAATGTTGACTCCTGGCAACTGCCTGGACAAGTCCCTGCAGTTTTCTTGGCAAGATTTCAGAAGTGGTTTGCCTTTGCCTGCTTCCTAGGGCTCAGAGAGAGTGATTGGCCCATGGTCACACAGCTGGCTTTGTGCATAAGGTGGGACTAGAACTCCAGGTCTCCTGGTTTCTATTCTGATGCCTTAACTACTACATCAAACTGGCTCTCAATGAACCCCTAAGTCACTTCAATTTATTTATCATTTAGGTGGCTGTAGTAGTGCAAAGTCTGAAAACCCCTTTGTTACATAATATCTGTCCTACTATATTTCTAATTCTTCATATATGAAATTGGCAGCTGTGTGTTCCTGAAAATTATTGAACTGGAACTCAAAAATACCTGTTTTTCATTATACAGACATTAAAAGTGCAAAATGTGGAATACTTATATCTTAAGGTAGACAAAAATAGATCAATTTATAATCTTTAATTTTATATCCATAATCTACATTGACCTCAAAATATTTTGTCCATTGGTACATGCAAGATCATTTATATTTTTGTGTGACTACATAAGTACAGAATCTGGAGATGTAATATAATCAGTATCCTGAAAAACTCTATTTTAAAGAAACATTATAATTCTTAATGCAGAGAGTCAGAAATGAGGACGAAGGTCAGTCAAAGTAATATCTTCTCTTATTCAAATTCTGCTATCAATCTACAATTCCTCTCTTTTGATTCCATCCAATATTCCATACCATTGCAAAAAACGGAACCTTGACAATCTAATTTATTGATTCATTTAAGCAGCTCAACTTATTCTGATTAAAATGTGTTTTCCTAAGTGAAGTGTTTATTCTGACACTTAGCTTTCAAGGGTGTTGCTGGAATAATGAACAGAGGTACCGGCAACAGTAATTCATGCCCTCAATAGCATACAATTAGGCTACCGTAACATCCTGTACTTTAGGTTTTCTTCTGAAGATAACTTAGCAACTTTGCTTGGTCCAAAGTGCAGAAGTCAGCTGCTAGCAGGTATGAACTATTTTAGCAATGTAACACCAGTGTTCTAGTCACTGCGTTAATTGCCAATAGGTTTCTCAAATCCAATTCAAAATACAGGTAGTCCTGTATTCAGCAACCATTAGAAGTTACGATGGCACTGAACGAGGAGACTTAGGACCAGTCCTCATAGGTGTGGCTGTCACAGCATCCCTGCAGTCACATAATTGTGATTTGGGCATTTGGCAAGTGGCTTGCAATGTCCCACAGTCATGTGATCACCATTTGCGACCTTCACTGCTGGCTTCTGACAAGCAAAGTCAATGGGGAAGCCAGCAGGAGGTCGCAAATGGCGATCATGTGATGTCGTGCTTAACAACTGCATGGGATTCTCTTAACAACTACAACTGGAACTGCTGCAAGTGCCATCATAAGTCACTGCAGTCACGTGATGTGCTTTACAACTGTGTCACTTAGTGACGGAGTTCCTGGTTTCAATTACCATTGTTAAGCAAGGACTACCTGTATTTGTTTTAACCTCTAAAGTTCTTAAAGGCTCAGCTCCTAGACACCTTTGGTCTCCTCCAAACTGATTTTTCCTGTCTACTGAAGTCTTTGAGGGAGGGGATGTTAGGATCCCAATCCTTTGAGAGGTAGAAGTGTCTAGAATCTGATGGTATATCTTTTCTGTTAGTGCCTTAATGTTATGAAACACTTTATCCACTAATGTGAAACTGGCCCCCACAGTATTGGCCTGGAAGAAAGCCATGGTAACTATTTTATTTAAACATGCTTTTGATCAGTAATAGGATGGCTGGGTGCCTGTTTGTTGCTTTAGTAGAGTTTTAGTTGTTTTACGTTTTTAACAGAATGTTATGTTGTTTATCGTTGCTGAATTTCATGATTCTATTTTTGCTTCTCCAAATGTTGTAAACTGCCTTGACTCTGTGGAATATGCAGTATAAAAGCAACTGCAACAAACAAACAAACAAATCCACCCAGCTCACCAAGCTCCTTTTTTTTCCAACAAGAATAAATAGGCAGAAAGAGAAAAATCAAAACGTTACATGCAGAGAAACAGGAAACACGGATTCAGATACTGTGACAGGCTACCCAACTTCACAATACAGTACAAACTGAAACAGGCATGTCCACCAATTTGTATCAAATTGATCCTGACTACCACATCCTTCTTAATTCAGAATTATATTCCTGAGAATCTCAACTTTTTAAATTACACAAATATTGTTCTTTGCTTCCACAAAAATTAATTTTTTATCAGTTGGACTGGAAACAGAAGGAAAAACAGCATATAGGTAGGTGGACCAAGCAGGAGTTGTGTGAGAACAGAAAAATGAGAAGTCTAGTTGAAAATTATTAGCAATTTCTCTAGCAACACATATAATATTGATTTTTTAAAATAATGTGGAACTGTAATGGAGTTAAATAATAATGTAGAGTTAAACTCAAAATATAGTTAAACCACACAGATGTTCCTTTTGCAATAGTCAGCAGCATAAATAGGCAGAGTGGTAGTGACTTCTGCTAAGGCTTCCCACTCCTCCACCCCAAACAATGAGCAAGCATAAAATTAAGCAGCCACCATGCTTAGGAAAAGCAACAGCCAAAGACCCTTACTTCTAGGAAGGGCTGGTCACTAGCATAACCCTTTTTTACCGTAGCGTTCTATACTTTGCCAACCTACTGCTCTGTTCTGCAGCGATCCTGCCAAAAGGAGAAAGGAATTAAAGTTCAGAGCAGACAGTGAAGTGGAAAGCAGTATTATCTTAGGAACTGACAACACATTCAAAAGAAGCATGCAAACTAGGCTTTCAGAAACTCTATAGAGATTTGGTGAGCATCAAGGACTGCCGTTCTTTTCATAGGAGAATTTATGCTGCCATATTGGCTGAATTTTCAGTCAGCCACTAATGTAGGCAAAGCCATGGTAGCGATAATTTCAACAAATAGTTATTAGAGAATAAATCTAGTAAAAGAGATAAAGTGCGCAATAATAATGTTAGCCCTGATGCATAAGAGACATTAGCAAGAAGCATTTTTATTACTGGTTCATGCTACTAGAAGCCCTGGTAGAACTTGGATAGAAACTTGGCTTGCTCATTTAATATTCACTACCTCAGAAAATCCACATGACATTACATTTCCACGATGACTCTTCCATGCAGCAAGACGTTTTGCCTATGTAAGTTAGATATACTAACTTGCTACTGACCTCATGGCTGCCTCAACCCTGAGAATGCCTAATGACCATCAAGACTTTCTGAAGGCAAACCTATACATTTTTTCCAGAGTTAAAAAAAAGACAAGCATTTGGACAGGAAGGTGATGTTCCAAGTC